GAGAGAGAGAGAGATTTCCATTTTGTTGGCTGAAAATATACAGAGAGAGGAGATGGTGGCATTAGGAGGAATGACATTGAGGGGGAATAGGGGGCGTTTATGCATAGCGGGGTTCCTTTGCTGGGCATGCTTGATGTTGGCCACACCGCGAATACCACACTTCCCAAAGCACCACCTCTTTGCTGACATGCGCAATTTCTTTGGTATCAAATCACCACTCTCTCTTTCTTCCTGTCGATTATTTCTCGTTATTGCTTTATTCTATTATTTCTTGTATGTATACGGCTCGGAAATGCTTTTCTCTCTCTGTTGATTGCTGTCAAAATTTTATTTTTGATTACTGTGACGATTATTGGCTCTCTCTTTCTCCTCTATTTGTTTGCAAATATGCTATTTCTTGGTTTCTTTGACGGATAATACTTCTCTCTCTCTATTTATATATTTTTCTTGTTTCAATTGCAGGGGTTCCAAATACCCTGAATGTGATTACCAACTTCCCTTTCCTAGTTGTTGGCGTCCTCGGTCTTGTTCTCTGTCTTCATGGCAATTACTTGTGCATATGGTGATCCTTCTCCTCTTTCTCCCATGCTTCTCTCTCTGTGGAGTTATTTTTCTATAAGATGAGGTTTTCCCTGTTTCTCCAGTACCTTTTAAACTTTAGGGTTTCTTCTTCTCTGCTTATTCAGAAATCTCTTTCTCTCTCTGCAGCCTTCGAGGTGAAGTTTGGGGTTGGGCACTATTCTATGCTGGGATTGCATCGACTGCATTCGGCTCCGCATACTATCATCTGAAACCTGAAGATAGTCGAGTTATATGGGACCGCCTACCTGTAATTACTCCTTTCCTTTCTCTTCTTCCTTTTTAAACAGAAATAATTGTTTTGTGATTTGGATATAGCTAATATATTAGTGATCAATTGAGAATTCATCAACATATGACTTTATATATCTTATCACCTACTTATCATCTACTCTTGTCATTCTATTTGGCCTTGGGGAACTATCTTCTTTGGTGACTTCGAATATTGTGGTTCTGTATGGTTGATTGTCAATCAATATATTCCCCTGAGGCCTTTTGATATCTTAAATGCTATGATGCTGTTGAAAAATCTTCTGTATTGCACCAGTGATGGCTGAGTCTTGTATGGCCTAAATCCCTACTAATGCTGCTTGTTGCTTTGGTATTTTCTGTTGTTCTATACACGGCAGTGGCATCCTAGTTCTTTCTCTTTCTTTTGTTTTAGGAATTTGAGTTGGATTTTTGTGGTAGTTTTGCCATGATCAGCACATGCCAAGAGTTTGAGGAGCAATAACTTTATACAATCAATCAAATAAGCACTTTTCCTAAATGTAGAGTGACTCCCAGATCTAGTTTGACTATCGTGCATGTTTATTGTCGGTGAGATCCTAAAAGTAAAAACAATATAATGGGCTGCTTTAATTTATCCTGTCATTTGTGGTGATGGTGTAAACATCTTTAGGAAGCTATTGACCACATTTATGTTATACATAAGCTATTCTAAAATTGTTTCTTTTTAAGGGACCATCAATGTTGTATAACTTGTTATCCTTGGATTACTATTTATTAGTTCTATGTGAAACCTCTCTTTGCTTGCATTCTTAAAGATGTTTGATGCAAAGGTTTGATTAGTGCAGCTTGAGACAGCAACTACTTATCTTTAGTATCATAATCTAGATATGGGAGTTCCTTGAGTTGCAATATGTGCTTATGAGAAGCATGTTTCATTAGCTGTTGATTAACCACCATGGTTGGTGTTAGAGTACCAGAATGTAAAGTATCAGTTTTGAAATCTTACACAAATAGACTTCCAAATTAATGACGGGCATAGAACCGGTGAATTTTTGCTTAGAACTTGTGAATTAAGGAGCCAATCAATAGCTACGAGGTCCATAAGCTACTTCCTACTTTTTTTCGATCCATTAAGTAACCGAGATGTATGGATTTTTGTTGGTAATACATGGTATGGATGCTTCTGTCGGCTTAAAGACCATAATTGTAAGTCTTTATTGATCCCTTGCAAGTCTTGGACTCTTGCATAAACCAGCAATATAGAAAGAATATCCTCTCTATGGAGCTCAATTAACACCAAGAGTAACAGAAAATATCAGGCAAATGGAGGAGAAATAACTTCCACAAAGGGTGAATGAAAAGCCAAAAGCTAAAATAAAATCCTTTTTCAAATTAGACATAGCGGTCAATAGCTATGGGGGAGCTCATAATGGCGCAAACCACTCATAATGGCACAAGCGTCTTTACAAATTCTTCATATTCTTTTGAAAAAATCTCACTAAATTTGTACTTCATAAAAGCATTGATCTGAAGCTGCTTACCTTTCCTATTTTTGGTGATTTTGGCTTCTGGGTGCAAGCATTTTTTGTAGATGGGAGCTTTCATGAGAGAGGGGTTTTCCGTATTCTGTATGTTGAGCTAAACACAGTTATAAACCTTAAATAGGTTAGAGACTTCTGCTGTAAGTTTCTCAGAAACAAGTGGGGGAGAAACTGGCTTTGCATGAACCTGTTCCTTTCCTTATGAATTAGTTTTGCATGGTAAAGTCCCAAATAAGTAGTGAAGTAAGTTCAGGTTCTATTTTCTGCAAAGAGGAAGCTGAATGCGGAAATTCTTAGGCTGTTATTTTACCATGTCCAAACCCATCTCATGCAAGCTAACTTGACTCAAAGATAGAGTTATTGAAAAGCTCCCCAAGGTTTCAAAAAATGCTAGATGGCCCCTAGGCAGTTGGCCTGGTGCCTTGCACCACCTTAGGCGCCATGTAATATAAATTATTAAAAAATATACATGTGTTGTCCAAACACACATATATGCTAATTTTTTTTTTGGGTAAGTCAATGGGGAAGATAGGCCCCTACCCATTTTTTTAAGTAGATTAGGAGTTAGATTTTTGAAGGTGCTAATGGGGTGGTGTTATTGGTAGGAATAGAAACCACAATGTGATGACTAGGTATGGGGATGCTACCACCACGACCCCAACCCTTTCCTTGGAACATACTTTTTTATATACAAACATCTGGCATTTAACTTTAGGGGGTTGAAAATAACCCCCATAACCTATTTAATCTTTTTTGGGGGTCAAACTTACCCTTTTTACCCTTTTGGGTATATTTAAAAATCGTCGAAAAAGGCCCACATCCCTGGGAGCCCGCCTAGACACCTGCCCAGGTACCTCCAGCCAAAATGGGGTGCCCAGATCTAGGCGTGCTGTCAGAGATAAGTTGGGCGCCAAGGCGCCGGGCGGACTTTTTTTTGAAACCTTGAAGTCCCCATAAATTGGTTTTGCATGGAAAAGCCCCACATAAGTGGCCAAGTAAGTTCAGGTTGTATTTTCAGCAAAGAGGAAGCTGAACGGTGAAATTCTGAGGCTGTTATTTTATGCTGTGCAAACCCATCTCATGCAAACCAACTTGACTTATACATAGTATTATTGAAAACCCTTTTTGCATTGCAAGCATGCACCAATTCCCAAACATGCATGCTCCCAAGTCCCAAAATATCCTAAACAGGGAAAGCTACGGAGCTGCACATCAAAAATTCCAAGTGAAGAACCCACATAGTCTATTACATTGTACATTGGTGCCCCATTATATTATTCTTTGGAACTCTACAAGTCTAGCTTAATTAGCCTTGTGGGTTCAAGGACTTCTTAGTCAACCATTTAGGGCTTCACACATTTTCATTACGGAATCATCTTATCATTTATATTTCTCTGGATAAATAGCAGTACATAAACTTAGAAAAGGGGGATATGAATAATGATGACAAAGTTGTCCTTATATCTTGCAAATAAACAACGTTTCTATGAAATTTGGAGCTGTACAACCATGGGAGTTGGCTTCTTTGTATATACAACCCCTTCGGATGATGATTTTGAATGTGATGATATCTAGTCTTCTTTTCTCTCCAATCTTGCAAGTCATATTGAGGTCGTCTCTCTTGGTGTTGTGCATGAATTGAATTTATGTCGAGAGATCTGATGCTAAGAGGATGGTGACTGAGCTTCCACCAATGATTATTTGCCTCACCTAGTGTGGATCTCCGGCATTACTTTGTTCTTAATCATATTGGCACCCTTATTTGTACCCAAGCCTGCCCTTCTCTGTTCTGTCCCAAGTTTCAACTATAATTTGGGAAAGGTTTTTGCATCTCTTGGACTGCAGCTCATACATAACAGGTTCCACCTATCAATGGGTCAACTTGACTCCAGAGTTTCGACCTACACTCCAAAGAAGGGTATCTCGCTCCTCCACGATTCTTAAATTTTGGAATGCTGATCCTCCTATTAGGGATTGATGTGCTGATTTATAAGGAATCTAGATTTTCTAGCGTTGTAGGATAGTATATAGTTTAGTCTTGCAGTGTGGTGTGTAGTATGCTATATAATAGAGCATATGTTTTATTGTTGTATACGATAGTTTTGAATATAGTGGCATATAGTGCAGAAAAATAGAATATAGCATATAGCATAGTATTGTAGTATAATATAACAGTATAACAGTGTCGCATACTATGTTAGTATATAGTGGTTTCAAAATTTTCAGATTAAAGGAAGGACACATGTGAGAACCAAGGATCTAGCCCCCACACGTGTGTGCCACCATGACTGGGACGTGCGGCTTTCAAAATTTTCAGAACAAAGGAAGGACACATGGGGATCAAGGATCCAGCCCCTACATGTGTGTGCCATCATGAGTGGGACATGTGGCCTTGTGGGGCCCACATAAAGTCCACCCCCCATTTTTTTTATGTGCCACTTTTAGTCAATAGTTTTAGTTAGGAATCTTTTAAAATTAAAAAGATTTGATTCCTATTCAAGTGGGAGTTTTGTTTTTAAAAGAATATCTTTGACTTCCTATAGATTTTCGAAAATCTAGATAATGCTAAAAGTGGTTATAGTTCAAATTTAAATGGGAGTTGGACTTGGGTTAAATTATAAGGGGAGAAGGTTTTCCACCCAAAATCATGATGGCAAATTTGTGGGATGGATGGCTCAGATTTAATCTCTCACCCCGCATATTTCCTAAATATCCTAATTGTCAAGCTGAAAAATTAGATACGGCATACCTAGATGGAATCCTACTCTAAGTGGGAAATAGATTGTTTCTATTTAAAACCCTATTTGAATCTGTCTAACTTGATGAAAAAGTCTCTCTCTCTCTTTCTCTCTCACGCCAATATCTCTCCCATACCAACCTCTCTCTCTCTCTCTACCATATTTTGTCACACCAACCTCTCTCTCTCTCCATAGTTTGGTGTGGACCTTCTCTCTTTCTTTTGCTTGTGAAGACACCCAAAAGAAACGCAAAATAGGCGGTGGCACATGAAACGCTAAGACTAGAGTTTTCTGATTTTTGAAGGAAAGAGAGGTACATGCAACCTAGAGACAAATCAACACTCAAGTTCAACCGTAATTTGTCCCTCTATGATTTCAACATATCCTAATAGAGTTTTTGAGCTCTCTAAAACCCTAGATTGAAAGGTACTGCCTGTAACGCTTCTTTATCTCAGGAATTCCAGCAATATCTAAAGGACTAAAGTACGCCATCAGTCAGGGAATCGGGTGTGGGGTGTATCAAGACTTGTGAGGATAACTCCATTCATCTCCTAGTAAGTATTCCCAGCTGATTTAATCATTTTTCAGTAATATTTTATATTTTTTAGTAAATTTTTAGGAAAATATTTTGTACTTAATAACATCGTGGAAGATCGGTTGTTGTTCCTGGATGGTATCTATTTGTTTTGGAAGTAAAATTAAAGAACCTAGGTTGTATTTAGGGTATTAATTTGGATTTA